TTTATCTTATTTAGTTATTGTTATTTGTTTCTGCCTGCGGGGGTCGCCTTTCTGCCCTCTGCCTTGTTTGTGTCTCCTGGGCTTCCGTAGCTCAGTCCAGCCCTCATAGCATCTCTGCTTCCCCCTTTTCCCTCACAGCATTGTTCTGCGCTGCTGTGGGTAAGTCAGACAAGTTCACTGCTGCGATATATGTTTATTTTCTGTACGGATGTTGTTGTTTATGTTGAAGTTTTATCATATGATGTTTATTGTTGTTTGTTAATGTGTTATTTTGCAGTTTTTACCATCATTGTGGGTTTTTATAACCAGTTTTATTATAATTTTCTTTCTTTTATTTTGGCGCGAACAACCGGTGCTAATCCAGCACAGTTCAGTTGAACATTGTTTTTATTTTCACATTTAGGCTGGAGTGCAAGGAGATTTGAACAGGAGGTTGATTTATTGTTTTACTCTTCTCCTCCAGGTATGCGTTTTTATTTTAAGTTATCCTTTTCATCTCTGTTTATTTAACTCTGTCTATTGTGTTACTGTGGCCACCAGGTGGCGTTTTTCTCCTCTTGTTTTTAGTTTATGATTTTTGTGAGATTTCTTTTTTTGTTGTTGATTTCTGTTGAATCGGGAAAAAAAGTTAGTGCACAGCGTTGTTCTGCGCTGCTGTGGGCTGGAGTGCAAGGAGATTTGAAGAAGAGGTTGATTTATTGTTTTACTGTTCTCAAGAATAAAGGATTTCATCGAAACCTGATTGGCTTCTGGAGACTCATTAATACCACCCGTTACACGTAAACCTGAAAACTCCTCAGACATAAACGTTCTCTCTCTGTAAGTGAGCGAGTTCATCATCAGCTCACATAAAGCTGGTAAAAGTTTTTTTTTTTATTTTATTTGAGATGTTTCGCTTTGACAAGCTTTACACAACAAGATGAAAAAGGAAGAGGACCTACATTCATACTGCACGTGACTCTCAGCTCGTCATTGATGACGTGATCCTCGGTGGCAAATTCAAAGCCCGAATCACACGTCACAGATTGACGTCAATGAGCGACTGAACCAGTCTTTGAATGTAGGTCTTCTACGATCATTTGGTCACTAAACTTATTTTCGTCTTCCAGAACGAACCAGTTAGACAGGTTCTTAGGATCGCACAGTTTATCCTTCCTGTCTTTTCCTCTCTCTCAGTCTGTCCCTCTTAGCACAGACTGAACATGAGAGGTCGTTCACAACGAGACGAAAGGGAAAAGGTTCAGCGCCGGGGCTTTTTCATAAGTCCCATACCTTACGCCTTCTCGCGAGAAGCGTAAGGTAGGATACTGGCGTTCAGCGGGATGGGAGGCGGAGGAGTTGCCTCTCCTGCGCGCCAGGCCCAGCGGCATGGGCTGACTCTCGGGGAGCGTTGCGGGGCTCCAGAGTCAGCCGTTCCCGCCCTGGATGGGAACCTTTTTTTTTTTTTTCTCATACCTCAGATTGGCCAACTTTCTTTCTTTCCCATCTCCATTTGTCAGTCATACAAATCAACCAATCATCACAGGCCAACTGAAAATAAAGAGGGGCGGTCACTTACGTCACTTACTCATATATTCATGTTTATCTTCACGAACAGACCTGCTTTTGTTCGTCCAGCATGGATTTTCGGACTTATTTAAAAACTAATAATCGGAGGACAAGAGGTAACAAATATATTTTCAAAACAAAAAAAGACTTTGTCTTTAACCCCCTCCCCCTCCAAAACTTACAC